TCGTGCTCCGTGAGGCTGAGCCGAATCTTCGGCGGAGACTTGATAACCACATCCGTGCCAATGTCATCACGGGCGGCGGACGCTGGGGCACCAGCACAGGAAGCCCAAGCCACAACACCGTCCACCATCAAGTGTGAGCGCCTGATCCTCGTCCTGTCGGCTTCACCCAAGGCGCACGGACGAGTGGCGTGCTTGGCCCAATCGTCGGCCTCGAGGTCACCCCGTCGCCCCCAACGAGACAAGCGACCTGCTCCCAACGAGACAAGCGACAAGAGTGCCGTGCCCTGTTACTTTGAGCACGGTGAGCCCGTCAGGGCCAAGCCCACCAAAGTCTTCAATAGCACTCCAAACCATACGCCACAAGAAAGCCCAGCTGTGAGAGGCACCGCACGTGCCTTCAGGTCCACGCACCAGAAGACCGTCAACCACGGTGCTGGCATCAATCCTCACAGTGATGGGGCGCCAGGCTGCGACGAAGAAGAATGAGCACTGCGAGGAGCCCGGCACCTTCAACAGATTGATGCATCCCCATCAGCGGCGACCCGACCCCAAGGCGCGAATGGCACACTTCGGACCAGGGTCGCACCAGCCAGGCCCGAGGGGCATCTGCACCACCGCACAGCCAGCCATGCCGTAGTCAAGGTCGAGGTCGAAGGCCGAGCAATCGGTAAACAGCTCGTCGTTGTGAAAAGGCATAGCACCATTCCCCAGAATCCACTTGACAGCCGAAAGAATCTCATCCTGGGGTGGCTGCCACACCACCTGCGGTCGTACCAGCAACAACCGCTCGACCAGCGTGACGATGTTGGGGTGGTCCGCCTGCCTCTGGAGCGCGGCGATGGCGGCTGGCAGCTCCGCCTGCGGCCAGTGGTGAGCACACTCCATATGACGATGCCAAAGCGTACCGACATGCCCTGGGCACAACTTACAATCTTCTGAACGAGCATACCGAGGTTCATTGTGAAAGCGTCGATGGTTGGTCCACTGGCCGCCGACGATGAGCGACCTGGCATGCCGCCGCTCCTCTGCACCAAGGGTGGGCCAATCGCGCCCTTCCGACGCCGTCGGCCGTCCTCGATGAATCCACTTCCTCAGTTGTGCGATTTTGAACCCGTTGTCCAAATGCGGCAGCTCGTCAGCAACCTTCTGAAACTGCCACCAAAGAACTGCTTTCCGAACCACTTGCTTCGTATACCACGGCGAGAAGTCCAGCGGCTTATACACTGCGCCAGTCGCCGAATTGATCCAGGTGCTGATGCTGGCCGCCGCCCAGCCGACTCGCAGCAGGGACATGAAAGCAGCGCTGATGGGCCCACGAACTTGGGCCCAAGACTTCACATGGGTGGATGTCCACGCCAGCACAGAAGACAGAATGGATTGCGGCAGCCACTTGTCCCAGACTGCACGATGCAACATACACACTGGACCGATGGCGGCTCGAAAGATGGGGTCGAGCTCGCGCACAAGCGACAACATGAGACTGAGCGCGCGACTCTTGCCGTCCACTCGGGCCTCCGTGGAACGAAAGGCAACCGAACGAACGGACTGAAGGTCGGCGTCGCTGAGCCCCGCGCAGTTCACACTGCACGCGTAACCTGCCTCGAGGCCCTGCTTGGCGATGCGGGCAGCGATAGCACGTCGACCTCCATTTCCCAAGAGTCGCCGTGCTCTAGGTACCCGTCGCCCCGCTGCACGAAGGCGCGCTCGTCGCACCTGTCGCCCAAGCGCGCGCCCTTGAGCGAAGTCCGTGCACAGGTTCCTCGCGTGTCTGGCGGCTTGAGCACCAGTGATCGCGATCAGCTTGGCCTTCAGAGTCTGGGTGAGGGCCGTGCTCGAAGCAAGAACCTGCGAATTCTTGGCAGCGATGCGGACGCTGTCCCTGCTGAGACCGTTCACCAGCACCTGCGCCGCCATGACGATGTCTCGGCTCGCCCTATGCTCTCCACCGTGCCGCTGGAGGACCAGGTCATCGACCACGATGGCGGTCGACACCGTGGGCACGGCCCGCTGCATGCGATCAACACTTTCAATCAGCCGCAGCTTCATGAAGGTGGTGGCAAAAGAATCACCTGCGAGCACGGTCTGGTGCACGTATACCAGGTCGGAGACAGCGCCATCCAAAACAAGAGCACGTGCCTTGGTATAAATATCCAGTTGCAGCTTCAACAACCACAAGGGAAACGAGAACTTCTGAGCCAACCTCAACAAAGGTTATGCCTGATCAGCTCGAAAGCTTTCCACAAATCCAGCAGTAACGTTGCAGTGGCCCAGTCAGCGCTGGGACCCTCATCAATCGTCATGGAGACCCACTCGCTCCAGACCAGCTGTTGCCATACAGCACGATCACAGCTCTTGCCAGCCGGCGCCTGCCAATAGCCGCGATCGCGGGCGGCCTCCCACACTGCGGCTATGGGCCGTCGCAACCGCCCATGCACTCGAACAAGCGCGGCAAGAAGGGCGATAGGCCGCACTCCACCTTCACGGTTGGGAATAAACGCAAGCTTATTGATAAACTATGACCAGCGACATTGCCATTCGACCATCTCGAGGAGACCTGCGAGCGCCTCCAGGCCGACATCGTCCAGCACGCCGAAGTCGCGCGGGTTAAAACTGTCAAAGCTCCGCCCGCCGTGGACCTTGAACGTCGAACAAACCCGTCGCAGCTGATCTGGGGCCGGCCGCTCGGGACGCTCGCCGAGGTCGCCAGGCCAAACCAAAATCGGAGGCGAAGCCGCGGTCCGCCAGTACTCAGACCATTCACACACCAGCGCCTTGACCGCCTCCATCTTGCCGAGCGGCACCTCGACCCCTTGGATCGCAGAGGCGTCGACCGCAGGCCCCTTCGTGAAGGCATGCAGCGCCGCCCCCCCGTCAACAGAGTGCGCGTCGATCCAATCCCCGAAGCGGGCCTTCGACTCCTGCGCGTCGGCGGCGACGGCATCGCCCGCGGTCTGCTTGGTGATCGCCGCCAGGCACTCGAGCTCAACGTGGCCCATGTACTCTCTCGCGCGGCAGAGAAGCGCCACCGCCTGGCACCACGTGCTGGCGGGTGGCCGCTGCGCCCTGCGCTCCAGGGCCCGCTGACCCCGCACGCGGCGGATGGGATCGGCACTGGCCCCATCAGCGACAGCAAGAGCCACGCCCTTCAGCCACATCGCAGGCCTGCTCACCTTCGGAATGCGAGGCGCCGAAGGTGGGCACGCGCGCGCCCAGCCGAGCTCAGGCCCGTGGCCTCGCCCACCGTACATGCCGATGCCGAGTCCGCTGAGGTCACACAGGTAGCGCTCCGCGACGCCTATGAACTGCGACCAGGCCGTGTCCACGTCGGTGGTGACATCGCGCAGCGCGAGCCAGTCCTCCGTGAAGTCCCGCGTGCAACAGCCAGCAGGAAACGGGCTGGGAAAGGCTTTGGCCGCGCGCATCACCTGCACCCAGTCGTCGATCTGGGCGCCTTCGATCGTGAGCCTGACTGGCCGATGCGGCCCAAACTCCCAATCATGTAGGACCTCGGCGCTGGCCACGCGGAAATGCCTGGACACGACGAAATAATCAATGACCTGCTCCAAGGGCCTGCACGTGCCCGAGGACGGCGCCACGACGCGCCCGCAGCACCTCTCGAGAAAGGAGGGCTGCATGAGGATGGCTGGCTCCATGTTGAAGTCGCCACTGATGATAAACGGGCGCCCGAGGACCTGCAACATGTTGGACACCTTTGTGCAAAATGCTCTCGTTCGCGCGCGAGAGCCCCTCGGCCGTGTGCAGGTAAACCGTGACCAGCACCATGCCCCCCGAGCAGAAGCCAGAGTGATGAACGAAGGTCGCGCGCCCGACGTCGATGATCGAGCTACCGACACCCTCGAACTGCCCCATGCCGTGCACCCGCGGCGACAGCAGGAGGAGGCCTCCATGCCCAGGAAGCCCAGGCCCCGAGCCTTCAGCAGGGGCTGCGTGCGCATGCCATCCAAGCTTGGCCAGCCTCGCCGACACCTCATGGCTGCGCTCCACCGCGAGGTGCGTCTCTTGGACGGCCACAAAGTCGGCCCGACGGATCTCCATACGGTCCAACAAGGTCTCAAGGTAGAGTAGGCGTTGGCGTTCACCGTGAGACCAACCCAGGAACGCCGCTGCCGTGGACCACTAAAGGCCCGTTCTCCTCCGCTTGGCCACTGCACGTAGGATCTCGCGTGTGCGCGTGTGCGCGTGTGCGCGTGTGCGCGTGTGCGCGTGTGCGCGTGTGCGTGTGTGCGCGTGTGCGCGTGTGCGCGTGTGCGCGCGTGCGCGTGCGCGTGCGCGTGCGCGTGCGCAAGCGTGTGCGTGTGTGTGTGTCCGTGTGTCCGTGTGCGCGTGCGCGTGCGCGTGCGCGTGCGCGTGCGCGTGCGCGTGTGCGTGTGCGTGTGCGTGTGTGTGTGTGTGTGCGTGTGCGTGTGCGTGTGCGTGTGCGTGTGTATGTGCGTGTGTGTGTGTGCGTGTGTGTGCGTGCGTTCGTGCGTGTGTGCGTGTGTGCGCGCGTGCGTGCGTGCGTGTGTGTGTGTGTGTGTGCGCATGTGCGCGTGTGTGTATGATGGCGCGTGCGCGCGTGCGCGCGTGTATGCGTGTGCGCGTGCGTGCGTGAGTGCGCGGGCGCGTGCGTGCGGGCGCGCGTGCGTGCGCGCGTGCGTGCGCACATGCGCGCGTGCGTGCGTGCGTGCGTGCGTGCGTGCACGCGCGCGCGCGTCTGCGCGTGCGTGCATGTGTGTGTGCGTGCGTGCATGCATGCGCGCGTGTGTGCGTGTTTGCGTGCGTGCGTGCGTTTGGGCCCGTTTCTTATCCCGAGTCGTTTTTTGCGACCGCCCCGGGGCCCGTTGAGGGCCCCCTGAGGCCCGAAATGGCCACAGACCGGCCGCTCAAATTGCCTCAGAGCCCCGCAGAGAAATGGCACGGCGGCACGGCAACAGCGCTGCAGGCCGCCGCCGCCGCCGACGCCAGGGTTAAAGGGGCGCGAGCGCGCGGGCGGGGGCGTCCTGCACAGTGCGGCGGACATCCCTCTCGCAGAGGGCGAGGTCGACGGCGGCGGCCCGCCCCCACCACTCCCAGGGGCCTGGCCCGCCCGCCCAGGCGCGGCAGGAATGCGCGCGCCGACCCAAGCATCTGGCGCCTCGGAAGATCAAGCTGAGGTCGATCGTTTTCGGCCTCTCGGAGCCCTTCCCGGAGACGGCACTTTTTCCGCCAGGTTGATCTGCGATGACCCCAGGGCCCAAAAGCCAGGCGAAAATGGCCCGGTGTGGAAAATTGAGACGCCCGGATCTCAGCGGCCAGACCCCCGACGTCCTGACCGCCTCACAACGTGGGCCCCCAGAGGTCTTGAATCCTTACAACTGTTTTTTCATTCGGAATCGTTTTTTGACGGCACCAGGGCCCGGCAAGGGCCTCGAGAGGCCGAAAATTGTAAAATCCCTCGTCGCGAGTTGTTTCGCACTACGCGAGCATACGAAATATGATCGCGCTATTCTCGATCTCCGCGGAGGCCAAACATTAAATAAAAAAGACACCCTCTGCCTCTCCCCCTCGCTCCTCGGCGCGTTACGCTGCATCCTCGGGGAACATTCCCTCTCCTCCAAATTGGTGTCTTGTCTTATCATCCACGTGGGCTCGACGCGGATTCGAGCTGGATCCGACACGGGTTCGACACGGATTCAACACGGGTTCGAGGTGGAACCGGCACGGACAATTGGCGCGATGGGACAGGACAGACGAGGCCCCCAGAAGATGCAACATGAGGAGCGGGTTTCGACTGTTTCGAGACACGGGCCACTGACCCCTCGACCGCTTCCCAGGGACTGGTCCCTCACCCATAGTCGTTTTTCTCGGTTCCGAGGCTCGGTCGTGATTGTTCGCGATGTTGAATATGTTTCGTCGGATCTCAGGAAAGGGGAGATGGAGGTGGAGGTGGATATGGGGATGGAGATGGAAATGAGGGAGGAGATGGAGATGGAGATAAACAGAGATGGAGATGGAGATGCAGATGGAGATGCAGAATGAAATGGAGAATGAGGAGGAGGAGGCAGGAAGGAGGGGAAGAGGAGGACAGGAGGAGGAGGAGGGCGAGGTGGTGGTGGGAAGCGGCGTTGCAGAAATCTGCGGGCCGCAGACGAGAGGCTCACACCCCGTGAGCCAGGGGCAACGAGCCAGGGACCGCCATCCCTCAGGCCAAAAAAGGGCAGCTGGCTCTGCTGTTGGTTGCTGGGGGGCTCGGCGAGCTCGAATTCCTTCAATGGGCGCTGCCGCTGGCGTCGGGGCACCGGCCGTTTGCCTCCACCACAGCAGCTTGCATCGGAACACTCTCGTCGAACAGTTTTTGACGGGGGGAACAGCTCGGGGGGGGGAACATCGACCTGCAGTCGGCGATACATCGCCGATATATCGCCGATGGGCCGCCGATAGCGAAACAGCACGGTCATGGGCAAGTTGGGGCCATCGAGCCCTTGTCGGCGATCAATGAGCGATTGGGGGTCGATGCATCCCCCACTAAGCTTATCACACACACACACACCCTAACTTTGCTCCCAGCTTCCAGATCCTAACTTAGTTCTCCGACGGCCATTCGGGACGATCTGGGCACCCTCGGAACGCCCTCGGCGAGGCGCAGCTGCTGGAGAGCACCCCGGGATTAGGAAGCCTCCGGGAATCGACGAATCTGTCCGAAAACCTTGACGTTCGAACCTCGAGCCGAACCCCCTAGCGCCGCCCCTGAACGTGTCATCGAAACCGCTGATCAGCTCACCCACCCCGAGCTCGCTGCCGCACCCCAATCCTCCTCATGCAGCAGCAGCAGCAGCAGCAGCGGCGGCAGCCGCGGATTGCCGCCGTCGGGCGGCTCTCTCGGCCCTGGCCCCGCCCCGCCAGATTCTTGCGCCCGCGCGTCCGAGAGGGCCGCCGGCACCTCGACGGCTAGGAGGAGCCTCCTTTTCCTCAACCCACCACTCATCATCGTCATCATCATCCTCATCATCATGATCACCATCATCATCCTCATCATCATCAACAGCAGCATCATCATTATCATTACAAGTATCGTCATCATCACCATCATCAGCATCATCATCATCATCAGCATCATCATCATCATCATTCCCATCATTATCATCATCCTCATCATCCTCTTCCACATCATCATCATCTTTTGCATCATCAGCATTGTCTTCATCATCACAATCATCATCAACATCAGTACCATCATCATCAGCAGCATCATCACTACCGGCGTCATCATCATCATCGCCATCAGCATCACCATCATCATCGTCAGCATCATCATCATCATCATCATCATCATCATCATCATCATCATTGTCAGCAGCATCATCATCATCATCATCAGTATCGTTGCAAGTCTCATCATCATCATCATCACCATCATCTCAATCAACATCAATATCAGCATCAGCACCTGCGTCATCACTACCATCTCTGCCAACATCATCAGCGTCATCATCATCAGCATCATCGTCATCACCATCGTCCTCACCACTATCACCATCAGCATCATCATCGTCGTCGTCGTCGACACAACCATCCAAATCATCATCATCGCAATCATCATCACCAGCAGCAGCGCCATCAGCATAATAATAACAATGCAAATGAGAATCACCATCAGCATCGTCATCATCAGCATCGTCATCATCCTGAGCACTATCATCATTATCAGCATCGGCATCGTCATCATCATCATCACCATCATCATCATAGCAGTTATCAGTACCACCCACCACCATCACAATCATCATCATACTAATCATCATGAGTACCAACACCTTTACAATCATTAGCATCATCACCATCATCAACAACAGCAGCAACATCATCATCACCACCATCATCAGCATCGCCACCCTTCTCATGATCATCGTCATCAGCATCATCGTCAGAATCGTAAACATCATCGATACCATCGTCGCCCGTATCATCATCAGCAGCAGCATCATCGTCACCACCATCATAGCATCACCATCATCATCATCAAAATAAGCATCAGCAGCATCATCATCATGATCGTCATCGTTGTCGCCATCGTCGTCATCATCATCATCGTCATGATCATCATCACCCTCATCACCATAGTAGTCACAAGTACCACCACCATCACCATCTCCCTCACCATCGCCATCATCATAAGAATGATCATCCTGCAAACCGGCACCAGTACAACCATCAGCATCCAGGGCGTCAGCACCATCATCATGTTCAGCATAAGCACCATCACCATCATTATCATCATCATTATCGACATCGACATCGTCATTATCATCATTATCAGCATCATCGTCACCATCGGCATCATCAGTATCATCATCATGATGGCCGCTTCCATCGTCAACATCAGCATCATCATCATCATCATCATCATCAACATCACCATCATCATCAGCATCAGCATCATTATAATAATAACCATCGTCATCGTCATCACCAACACCATTACCATAAGCATGATCATCATCATCATCACCATCATCATCATCACCATCACCATCACCATCACCATCATCAGCATCATCAGCTTCATCATCATCAGCATCAGCATCATCATCGCCATCGTCATCGCCGTCGTGATCATAATCATCATCAACACGACCATCATCACAATCATCATCACATAGAAGTCACACGTACCACCATCGCTACCATCACCATCACCAGCGTCATACAAATCATCATCATGAGTACCAGCACCATCACAAGCATTAGCATCCTGGGTATCAGCACCATCATCGTCTTCAGCATCAGCACCACCACCCTCACCATCATCATCACCATCATCGTCATAGTCGGCATCATCATCATGATCTTCAACATCATCATCAACAACATGATCACCGTCATCGTCAAAATCAGCACCATCATCATCACCATCATCATCATCAGCATCAGCATCATCAGCATCATGATCATCAGAAACATCCAAATGGTTACCATCATCATCGCCATCAGCATCACCATCATCATATTCATCAGCATCAGCATCATCAATATGATTAATCAGCATCACCATCATGATCAACATGACTGTCATAATCATCATCAGCAACATCATCATAAACATCACCATCATCATCACCATCATCATACGCATCAGTATGAGCATCATCATCACCATCATCATCACCACAATCATCATCACCACCACCACCATCATCAACATCATCATAATCGTGAGCATCATCATCATCAACGTCATCATCATCGTCATCGCCATCATCATCGTCATCGTCGTCATCATCACGATCATCCTCACCATCATCATCATCATAGTAGTCACAAGTACCACCACCATCACCATCACCATCCCCGTCATCATAATAAGCATCATCATAAGTACCAGCACCATCACAATTATCAGCATCATGGGCATCAGCACGATCATCATCTCCAGCATGAGCACCATCTCATCATCATCAGCATCGAAATCACCATCATTGTCATACTCGGCATCACCATTATTATCATCAGAATCGTCATCATCATCGCCACCATCGTCAACATCAGCACCATCCTCATCCTCATCCTCATCCTCATCATCATCAGCATCAGCAAAATCATAACCACAATCGTCATCATCACCATCATCATCATCATCATGCTCATCGTCCTCATCATCATCATCACCACCATAAGCATCATCACCATAATCAGCATCACCATCATCATAATCACCATCATCAGCATGATCGTCAATCATCATCAGCATCATCAGCATCATCATCGCTATCTTCATCACCACCACCATCCTCAGCGTCCTCCTCCAGCTGGGTCACCCGGAGTCTGTCTCACTTTTTTTGTCCATCTCTCTCTCTCTCTCTTGCGCCAAAAGCGCCAATGCGTCGAGGAGCACGCCCGACGGCGGGGCTGAAACGTGATGCATGCAGCAGATGGTGTAAGTACTCCCCCATTTCCCCGTCCCCCCCCCCCTCGTCCGAACTGGCAGCCACACCCTGTCCACGCCACATCGCTGATCTGCACCCTTGCCAGAAATTGGGGGGCCGCAGATAATCACACAGAGGTACGTCAGCCTTCGTCCAAAACGTAGAATGCAAAGTACGTTGAACGTCTCATACGCGCGAACCGACCCCCAAATAATGTCCACCACACTGTGCACGGTGTCAATTGCAAACATAGGAAGCATTGTCATGCTCGTACCCTGGAATGTTGGTGAAGAGATGGCACTCGCCGCGCGCCCGTCCCCATCCCCCAGCAGGCGCCTCGCTCGGCGACAGGGGGGGTAAGAATGTCCAGGCACCAGCCTGCGCGCGGAGGGGCGGAGGGTGCGCACAGAGGAGATCGGAGGTGAAGAAGACGAGTCTCCAGCAGGACTGAACAACGAGGCGGGGAAGCAGGCTGGCTGGAAGGGGGGGGGAGAGATCGAGTGGGAGAGGACGAGCCACTCCCTGAGATCCGATGCTGTAAGATAATTGCAGCATCGCGAAAAGTCACACTCCAGCCCCAGACCCCACCTTTCTGCAGCTTCTCTCAGGCCGGATCGACCCGTGATGGCCCTGGGGCCCCAAACCGGGCGACAACGCCCCGCGCCCCCCCCCAAAAAAAAACTTGCTGAACCAGCAGAGTCTGAACGAGCTCACGGGGCTCCTACGCCCATAAGCTGCGGCGGTGCGGAGGAGGAGGAAAGGCAGGAGGAGGGCCCCGGCTGGCTCCAAGTTTCCGCTTCCGTGAACCCAAACCCGCCCATCCCCCCGATCACAGGGCCCTTCCTCGTGGCTAATCGCGAAGCTCGTCTCAGTCAGGGAGGCGTCGTGACCGAGACTGTGCCCAAAGAGCAGCCCGAATGTGAGCAAAACTGGCACCCGAAGTTTTCCAGCCGCGCCTGGGCGTGACCGAAATGCTTGCTTCGAAACCAAGACGATTCCAAATTTCGGTCACAGTCTCGGTCACGCGACGTTTTCGGTCACAACTTCGGGCACGTGTTCGGCCACATATTTTTGTTCGGTCACCTACCCTTTCGGCTGACAGGGGCGGGGCGCCACAGGGAACGCCCTCGGCGAGGCGCAGTAGAAAAGCACCCCGAGGCTGGAACACCGCCGGGAGCCAACGAAAATATTAGAGAATCTCGACCCTCGAATCTCCATCCTCGGATCTCTGGGTCCCCGTCCTCCCAGGCGGCGCCAACGTGCGCGGCGCGCGCGCGCGCCTGCGACGAGGCGGCGACCAGCGCGAGCAGCGCCAGAGCTCCCACGGCCCCGCCGCGGCGGGCCCGCGTGGCGGACACGGCCGGCCTGGCGCGCGAGAGCGGCCCCGCCGCGGGGGAACGGAGTGGAACGGAATGTTCATGCGGGCATTCGCGGGAGGCCCTTGTTTTCATGGTGTTGCATGTCTCGCGGCAGCCGGCCGTCACCGGCCCTGACCCCCCCCCTCCAGGTGACGTCACGATTTAGTAGGAAGGAATCGAACGCGGCAGGGCTGTTTAGTAAACGCCCAGGGCCGTTCGGTAAACGCTTATCAGGGCCGGGCAGTTTTTCCGTATTGAATTTAGCTATTTCAAAACATTCCCAGGCGGCGCTGGCGCTGTGGGTCAAACAAACATGGCCGGTGAAAATTATCTTGAACACGGATGCTGCGCTCGTCCTCCCCGCCCTCCTCTCCCGTCCCCCCCAGACCTCGCCACCAGACATCCGCCGTGGCGTTTTTTCAATCCGCTGCCCAGAGATCCCGACCGCTTCCCAAGGGACAGTTTTCCGTCCCAGACAATTATTTTACGGTCCTGTAGCCCGAAAGCCGCCCTCGAGGGCCGAAATCTAAAAAAAAATTGGGGGGGTTGAACAAAATCTCATCGTCCGAATTCCGCCGACCCTGTCGGCGTGTGGAAGACGCTCTTGCGGTCAACGTCGTCGCCCCCCCCCCCCTTTCCCTGAGCCCTCCTCCTCAAGCGCGCCAGCCAAAGCGAAATTAAGCAACGACGTGGTTGAATCGAAGGGAAATCCCTTCCCTTTGATCCCTTCCCCGCCGGGGGGAGGGTGTCCTGGAAGGAGGTCCCTGGGAGGGGTCCCGGAAGGAGGGGGGTCGGGAGGGTTCCCAAATCAGAATTCCATCATTCCCCGCCGGGGGGTCCGAGGGCCCGACAAAATCCAAGACGGGCAAATAATGATCATAAAGGCCTCCAAGACGGTCCAAGAGGGCCGCGAATCGCCGAATTATCCGTCCAATACGCCACAGATAGCCTCCAGACGGTCCACGACACCTCCCAGACCCTCCTCGAGGTCTCCAAGAGCATCCCGAGGGACCCAGAAGGATCAAATCATGGATTTACAAATGTTGTTGAAAGACTCTCAGGCGTTCTTTTCTTCTCAGCTTACCGACGCTCCAAGACGGCCCAGGAGGCCTCCAGAATCGCCCCACGATCGCCCCAAGAAGTCTGCAAGAGGGCCCCGAATCGACCCAAGAGGGCCCCCAGACAGTCCAAGAGGCCTCCAAGACGGCCCAAGACGGCTTCCAGAGCGTGCCCACACAGGACCCGACGGTACACACGACAGTTACCAGATAGAATAACAAGTCTTGCTATGAGAGACCCAGGGGGGGCATTTGACGTCGATCTCCGAACGTCACGGGGCGCCCCGAGGATTCTGCGGGTCCCCTGGGCCATCGAAGAATCACATGGTTCAGTGGGACACCCTGCTGGCGGACTGCTATCGTTCCATGCACCTCTACTGCACGTGCTGCCAACACGCCCGTCGTCGTGCGTCGTGGGCGCCGACCGCAGCACGGAGCCCTCCATGGTGGTGGAAGGCCTGCGGGGCACGGGGGGGCAGGATCGGCCGGCACCGACTCGCGCGGCCAGACCGGATCGGAACGCCAGGAGCGAAGAACCGGCGGCAAACCCGGGGGGGAAGCGAAAGGGCGCAGGCCTTCTCTCAGAAGGCGGCGGGGCATCTCAGAAGCCCCCCAGCCGTTTGAGAAATCCCACCAGCCCTCTGGGCTAGGTGGTTCAACGAATTGTTGTCAGCTCCCTGCCAAACCCCGCCCGGTGCTCGGGGGGCCTATCACTGTTCCCTATTCATGTACACCCCCTCCCTCAGGCGACAGGCGGCCAACCAGGAACCAAGAGGCCCCCCCACCATCCATATCAAAGAACAATACAACACGAGCTCAGCCTCCACATTTGGAGCATGCGCGGCCAACCCGATGCGCCCCCCCCCACCCCTGTCAAAACAACAAAACACAATACACTTTGGGGCAAAGTCTTGAGTCATGATCGTGAGGCCCGCGAGCTCTTTGTATTGTGTTTGACAAGGACGGCGGGAGTGTATGCCTGCTGTGCGCAAGGCTACCATCCCTAACAACAAACGGAACAAAACGCACCTCGCAACCGAATTTACATCGTGCGCGGACACCCTGCGATCATTGTCAAAGGGTTGTTGGCAGAGACGGCGGGGGTGGTGGCGTATGGCCTGGTGTGTGCAGGCCCACCAAACACAATGATGGGCATTGCTGTTCGACAAGGATGGTGGGGCCGACACGTTGCCTGGTGAATGCTGTCACGTGCGCAGGCGCACCTCGGGACCCAGGGGTGCCTGGCACGCGTGGCGCGCCTGGCACGCGTGGCGCACCTCGCCCCAGCGCCGCGCACATTTGGTCGGTTTGGTTCCCAGTAGCTGCCCATCCAAGGACGACCGCCGAACATGCTGAGGCTCGGGTGTCACTTTTGTGTACGGAGGGCGGGAAATAGTGAAATGGACGGCTTGGTATCTAAAACTTTGATCATTGTTACTTATTAGTATACACCCCTCCCCCCACCCGGCCGGCGTCCAACCAGGAAACATGCCGACACCATGAAGGCCCGCCCCCCACCATCCCTAGCAAAAAACAATACAAACTGCACTCTGCCTCTGCATACGTGGAACATGCGCGGCCAACCCGGTGCGGTCCACCCCCATCCCTGTCAAAAACCAATGCAAAGTACACGTTGGGGAAAAGTATTGAGTCATGTTCGTGAGGCCCGCGAACACTGCGTATTGATTTTGATAAGGACGGCGGAGGTGCCAGCATATTCCCTGCCGTGCGCAGAGCGACCATCCCTGACAAAAACAATACAACATGCACCTCGCGGCTAAAGCTGGACCATGCGCGGCCATCCCGCGATCACTGTGACATGGTTTTTTGACAGGGACGGCGGGGGTGGTGGCGTGTGCCCTGCTGTGCGCAGGCCCACCAGATACAATGACGGGCATTGGCTTTCCACAAGGATGGCGGGGGCCGACATGGTTCCCGATGTGTGCTGTCACGTACGCAGGCGCACATGTCGCACCCTGCACGTGCCCCGACCATGGCGCACATGGCGCGGCTGGAGTATGCGGCACACCTGGCGCACTCGGAGCACGGGGCGCATCTGCCGCACCAGGCGTGCCTGGCACGCTCGGGCCCCACGGGTGCCTGGCGCGCGTTGCGCGCCTGGCACGCGCCTGGCCCCCCATCCAACTTATGGTGGTGGTGGTGGAAAACAAGCCCATCAAGGAAGCAGGCAAGAGCAGGGGGGGCAGCACGAGGCAGCCGTCCGATGCCTTCATTGTCAATACGAAATCCCTGGAAGTCCCGAATCTTTCCCCAGGGCCAGTTTTACTCCCCGAGCTGTTCTTTAACAGTCCAGGGGTCCGGCGAGTGCACCCAGCAGCCGAAAAACGACCTCAAAACCTCCCGCTGCTGTTTTCTTCAAACTGCGAGCACGTTTGGGAAGGAAAAGGAGGCCCGCCTTTGTCTTATTCGCGATAACGACCGCGACCGGCCCCGCACCCCCTTCCCCCCCCCCCGGGTCACGTCACGATTCGCGCTGGCGCATTTAAGAAATTAGCCATCCCCGAACAAACCCAGACGGCGCCGGCCGCGAACCGTTGCTCGACCGGCCCCCTCACCCCTTGATTTCCTCCTTCCCGGAGACGCCCAGCATCGCAAGTGGATTCAAACAAAAAACGTATCCAGTGTACGCGTTTGTCTTGAAGCAAACAGAGAAAGTCGGCATGCTTTCAACACGCGGTCCCTGGAAGTCCCGACCCTTTCCTTGGGGCCCAAATTTCTCCTTGAGTCGATTTTGATGGTCCCCGGGCCCAGCAAGGGCCGCGAAAGGCCGAAAGGAACAAAAAATGTCCTGGTTTTTCGCGACTCAAACATGCGTTGGCATCGCCAGGTGGAATTGCAAAAAGGTTCACAGGAACTTGCGGGCCCTGGCGCCAGACAGACGCACGCAGACCGGCGCGTTGCGGCACGGAGCGCCTGAGCTGAAGCGGGCGCAGGCAGATCCCGCTCTGCGAGCCGACACGGCCGCGCCGAGTTCCTCCTCCTCCTCCTCCTCCTCCTCCTCCTCCTCCTCCTCCTCCTCCTATTATTTTCCTGCTTAGATTAACCCCAAGAAGCATTTAAGAACCCCCCCCCCCCTTCCGGCAAATCGATAACCCTTCCGCACCCTGGAAGCGCTACCTGGCACCAGGAACCCTCCTCCTCCTCCTCCTCCTCCTCCTCCTCCTCCTCCTCCTCCTCCTCCTCCGCGAATTTGTTGTGTGTCCGGGTGCTAAACCTATCGTGCGGTTATTTCGGCCCCTCGGAATATCGAATAAAAATGCGGTGCTAAGATATCGCCGGGGGGGTTCTTAAATGCTTCCGGGGGTTATCATTACTATTTTTCTTTTTAGTATGTTTATTATGCTTATGTTTTTTATGCTGATTATTATTATTAATATCATTATTAGTATCCTCTCCTCCTCCTCTTCCTCCTCCTCCTCATCATCATCCCCGTGCGGCCCGAGGAGGCCACAGGGCTCGAGGGGGCCGCAAGGCTCGAGAGGGGCCGCGCGGCTCGAGGGGGCCGCACGGCTCGAGGAGGCCGCGCGGCTCGAGGGGGACGCAGGGTTCCAGGTGGCCGCACGGCTCGAGGGGGCCGCGCGGCTCGAGGAAGCCGCGCGGCTCGAAGAAGCCGCACGGCTCGAGGAGGCCACAAGGCTGGAGGGGGCCGCGCGGCTCGAAGAGGGGCATGGGGACGACGACATTGCCTGGCTTGAGCCAAATCCTACGGATGAGGATGGCGACGGTGATGATGATGAAGATGATGTTGATGATGATGAGGATGAGGATGGTGATGATGGTGGAGATAAGATTGGTTGTATCTCGATAAAACAGGACGGTCACCAGCATCACCATCGACATCAGCATAAACCCGCCATACAGACAGCCAGTTCGTACCCTTCAGGTCTTGATTTTCAGGAAGAGCGAGTACATGGTGACCTGCACCGCGAAGCTGCAGGCTGCCTTGCCCGAGGCAGACATGTAGCTGACTTTGAACTCCGATTCTTCTCCACGCCGAGCGCAGGCGCGACCCTGGCCGCGTCAACTGGGGCGCTTCAGGCCGGGATGCAACCAGCGGTGCTTGCGTTGGCCAAATTGTTGCACGGTGGCTCAGGCGCGCACCGATCCACGCCGAAGGCCCTGCAGGGGGGGGGGACATGGGCGCCGAGACAGATTGCGCGCCAGCGATTTCGAGCTACGTTCAGCCGCGCCTCCCCCGATACACTGGAGAACGTTGTTTTTCCCGAGTGGAAATCGCATTGCCCATTCGGCCACAGGAGAAACCGACGCCGCGCACGTAGCAGCTAGTGTCCAACACCTTCGCGACCCCCACGCTGCCAATTATCGGCCCTGCGGTGGCGCGGCCAACGAAACCCATGGAGAGCTAGCTACCAACGGGCGCGGACGACAAGTGCACGCGCTTGCCCTCGCCCGTCCTGTCATCGGAGAGCGCGTCGAAATCTTCATCTGAGCCATGGCCTCCAGACAGAGTCATGGACCGCGCCCTCGACTCGAGGAAGCGGGCGGCCTGCCGCAACTAGAACAGCGGGGCCCCGAGGTCGGGCATCACAAGCGCCCTGACTGAAATCGCGGTCGAAAACTTCGAGGGCAGCAGCGGCCTTCTTGCCCTTGTCGGGTTTCTCCCCCGCCGCCTGGGCCGACGCGCCAGCGCCGCTGTCGCCCCGCTGGACCTGCGTCGGGGGCCTCTCCCCATCGGGCAGCGGCGTTGCAGAAGCAGACGGCCTCAAGCCTCTCGTGAACTGAAACAAGAGGTGGCCCGCCTCCATCACGCAGCCATTACCAGTCGACGTGAGGCCTCCGACCTGGTCGAGCTTGCCATCGCTGCAGGAAGTGATGATGGCCGCCCGCGCCTGGCTGTACTTCTCCTGCATGACGCGCAGGTCAATGGCGCCGAGGGTCGTCTCATTGGCGCCGAGCCACCCCTTGAGCGTCTTGACAGGCGACGTCCAATCAGTGGCGGTGTACCGTTCAGACCCAGACGCCAACTGGCCCACCATCTCGAGCACGAACGATGCCACCATGTGAACGATCGTTGACAAGACGACTTGGTTCTCGATGATGCCCGCGCCGAACTTCTCGAATCTCGCCTGACTCTCCTTCGCCACGTTGCCCGCGACGGCCAGGAAGGTGACCCGCGACTCTCCCCACATGCCACGCGCGTGTTTCGTGGCGGTCAAGGAGCTGGGGCGCGGTAGGCTGTCTCCCCTTGGCCTGGTAGTTCTGGTCGCGGCCGCGCAGCTTGATGTACATTTGCGAGAACGCTGGGGAAGCAGCCTCGATGCCAACCAGCTCGATCTTGTCCGAGATCTCCTCGGCGCAGTCGACGAGCTCAAAGACCCGCGCCTGCTTCTGCTTGAGGATGTTCACGTAGGTGCCGATAGTCTCCAGCCTCGTCAGCGCGCCCTTCTTGGCCTCGTCAGTTTTGGCATCGCCTCTGGCCAAGGACTCCGCCATGGCCATGGCAGTCAGGCCAACGTCCAGCGCAGGCGCGCCGCCGCCGGCACTGCTGCCCGAGGCCGCCTCGCCGCCGCTCGAGTGGAGCGCCTGAAGGCTTGCCAAGTGAGCGTCGACGGCGCGCTCGCGGAGCGCCTGCCGCGGCGCGGAGAACTGGTTGCACTCGGCGCTGGCGTCGTCGCCGCCGTCGCCAAGCCAGGGGAGCTCGGTCGGTTTGTAGAACGCGCACTCCCAGACGCGCATGGCGCAATCAATCAACGCGTCCCCCTTCGCGCCCGACACTTTGACGCCGTCCAGCGGCTCGAAGATCACCGAGACAAGGTCGTCGAATACGGTGGGATCGCGCTCGGCCCCATCCCCTTCAATCGCAATCGCGGGCGCGCCGCGCCTGGTCATCTCGAGCATCTGCGCCGTGCTCGCCGCGCGCGACACCCCCCTCCGCTCGCCCGCGGGAGGGGCGGCATCTGGCGACGGCGAGGGCGCTGGCGCCTGCGACTGCGACATCCTGCGGGCCGCGCTCTTCGCGATGATCGCGCCGTCGACCTTCTCGTCAACCATCTCGATCAAGTCCTTGCGAACAGCGTCGACGTGAAAGTCGGCGCGGGAAGACGGGCCACGCCCGTCGGGGATGCGCGGGCATATGAACTGCGCGGCGCCCCTCAGCATGATCTGCAGGGCACGCGTCGAGTGCGCGCCTTCAGGGGCGAGGGGGGGGGTGGGGGCGAATAGGGGCGCCGCCGCGGGGGTCTGTCAGGGGGCGTTGCGAGGGTGATTAAACCTCGGAACCGTCGAACTGCAGCCGAAACTGAAACTGCCGATAAACCGTCGCGCTGCCGACCTGCATCGCCCCCCCCCCCCCGCCCCGCCCACACCTGGCACTTGTAGATAGCGTCGCAGAGGCACCGCAAGTTCCCCAGCACCACGGGAATCGGCACGAGGTTGATCAGGTAGTCGCAGATCTTGTCCGCTATCTCCCTGGAGCTGTTGTAGATCCCCATCGCCCCCATGGCCCCGCGCGCCCCGTCGGCGGCCTGGCGCGCGCTGAACTGCGGAAAGATGTGGCTGAAGTCGGACTCGACGTGCGCTCGCGGAACTTTCAGTACGTCGCGTGGCCCTTCGTCGGGCGCGAGGTCGCCTTGATCTGGTGGGTCGCTCTGCAACTGGGGGCGCGCGCAGAAGACGCCGCGAATCGCGAGCACGCCGAGCCCCCCGGCGGGCGAGGGTGGATGCCCAACAGGCGAGGGAGTTGAGTTGGGGGGGGGGGACCAGACGACCTGGCGGCCTGGACTGGCACGCGCTCGAGTTCGCAACGCCATCGGCACGCGCCCCACCCAGGCCCCCCCGACGGTGGCTCGTCCAAAACCTCGACGATGTTCACGGCGCCCCCGTCGTGACAGGAGATACTGACCCACTTCCTGAACTTCTGAATGTCGCCAGGAGCCTCCGCGTAGAACGCGATGACGTCCGACGGGCATCAGCCGCCGTCTTGACAACCCATGGTTTGTCCTTGTTCTTGCGCCCCGCCATGATCATGGCGCTAGTCAAAGTGCCGCCTGCGATCATGTGGAGCTTCGCGTCCCCCGCGACTCTCCGGCCTTGCGGGCGGCCTCGGGTCTCGCCGTCTAAAGTATACACATATGTGTGTAAAAGAACTTATATGAGTATGGGCCTTTCTTGCCATATATCGGTCTAAGTATATATATATATATATATAGAGAGAGAGATGTCTATATATCCAATACTCTATCTGACTAGACTCATGCATATGTACACATACATACACGCTTAGATATCGAATTGGGCCAGTGAGCTTAAGAACGTTGATCTTCATATAGGTTAGCGAAGGGGCCAGGGGTGGGCATGTCTTGACAGCTGGTCCGCCTTAGCTCGGTGATTTCGGAATTGGTCGCTGCGTCTGCCGCAACAATCAGAATTGCCGCGCCAGGGCGGCGCGGGTCGGATACCGTTCCAGGCGCCCAGGTCTTTGCATCTAAGCATCTCCCAATGTATACATCTATATATATATATATATATATATATATATATATATATATATATATATATATACATACACATAATTATCCATCTATCCTCGACGAGACGGGGCGAAGACGGGGGATTCGCCAACTCGACCTTGCACGCCGTTGAAGCGATTCCCGGCCCCAATGCCGCCCGGCAACTTCTTCCAGATCATCGCGTCGGCGATGAGCGCCGTGATCTGCGCCACATCCCGCTGGAGCGCGCAACTTGCCCAACGCGCCGCCCTCCCCCGCGCCTCGCCCAGCGAGGCCCCGGCCCCGCCGAAAACCAAACCGCGCCATCCTGCCTAGCCCGGAGATGGTTTTCGGAATGGCTTTTCCGCGGGATTGGGCTTTCGGGGCGGGGCGAGGAGGCGGTTCTCCTGCGCCTGCGAGAGGGGCCGCCCAAAGTCCCTGCAGCGCGCGAGGTTGGGACAAGACATGATGCCATGATTCTCGGCGACGCCCCGCCCGAAACGACGGG